AAATATTCGTCCATCAAAAGTGGTTTTGATGGTTGATGATAAATACAGATATGAGTGTATTGAGATGAACCAGTATTTGGGAGTTCTTGTGAAGAAAGAGTCCTTTTAGAAAACTTAGGAGTTGTATGTTCGAAAAGTCGACAGAAAGATTTCTGATAAACTTCTCTTCAAGTTTTGTGCGATTCGACTACGTTTTCACAAACAATAATCTTTTGGAGTCTATGTTTCAAAGTTTTTCTAAGAATGCATTTTAAAAAATCAATCTTTGTCCACTGAATATCAAGAACATCTTCAACAGGAGACATATGTAATGTGAGAAGAAAAGAATGGCACAACTTTTCAATTATCATGATTATGACATTGCCTTCCCAACGAGAGAATGGAATGTGTTTCCTCTCATTCAAAAAAAAATAATCATTATAAGTTATTTTTTGTGTATTGCAACTATCTAAGTTTTAAAGGTATTATTTGATTGTCTAAACTATAGTTTTCAGCATAACTATTACAGAAAAAATCAGAAATCCATATCTGATAATTCATTGTCCTTTGCCCATACATGATTTCACCATGACTTTCTCTAGAAATTTTAGTTTTCTTATATAGCCCAATGACTTAATAAGTTTAAAAAACTCTTTGCTTCTCGAAAACTCATATCGATGCCTATTAAGACACGCAAATAAAGCTGATATTTTAATTGTCTGTGAAATTTTTTTTTCTTCATAGTTCTCTAAGAAAAGCAAAACAAATATATAGTTTCAAAAGAGGAACATCAATCATTTTCTCCAGGCTACTTATAGATGCAACTGAATATGAAAGGATGATCATTGAAGTTATTTATTGAACCGTCTCAGTTACGAAATCGTGGCTTCCCTAATGATTGTGTGCCAATCAAGTTCAAAACAAATCGTCTGCTTCACACAGCAAGTTTCATACGTACAACGAATCTTTTACCTTATTCATATTTGTGGAATCTTAATCGATATTCACAACAAATTTCTTGTGATCGTTCACAGGAGCCAAACAACTATACTGACTTGTTAACTTTGTGTCTGTATACAAGAAAAAAATTCTTCTGTTACTTTGCGTTTTTGGACTTCTCTTGTTCGGAGAAGCAGAAAAAAAACAGAAAACATATAATGCATGTTCGATATTTACCAAGCCATTAACCTCATTAAAGTTCATCAATCATTTTCATGTATACATAAAACCTAGCATGTGCCGTTCGGCTTTTGTTATTAATGCGTCTCTATTCGATTCTCTGTGCAAAATATAGTAGAAAAATATACTTTGATGGAATTTCTATCAATCAAAATGCTAAAGAAAATAGGGCTTTTTAAGTATTTAAATTGGTTCTTCAGCACTCGAGAAATTGCATTTAACCTATAAAAACACTATTGCTCCTTATTTTTTGCATTAGTTGCAACTGGTATATAAACATAAGACTTGATCTTTGTCTAAAAACAATCTAGAGTTAGTGGCCAACGGTTCATAAACAGAAAAGCATTAGAAAAACGTAGTATACATGCATCAAATGAAAATTTTTCAACGGGCTGGATTGCAACTTTATTTGATTGAAACATTCTCTTTTTCTTGCAAACCGCTCACAAACATTGATTCTCACTTATTCTATGAATCCTCACTGCGTCATATCACGAGAAGAGTTATCAATAATTTATTTGAAAGTAAAATAAAGAAAATAAGATCTGCAAATACATACATCCCCAGGGGGCCAGTCTAGTGTTAAGCGAACAGTTACTTCTTCGAGACTATTTCTGAGTGACGATTCATGAAAAGAATAATTCTTGATCGTTTCATTTTTTATGAATTAATAAGACAAGCACATTGACTCGACACTTCAAACCGAAGTAATCGACTTCGATTAAATTCACATATTCTTCTAGCATGTTTTGAATTCAATAGACTCTGTCGTCTGATAGAATCCAACAGTTCTTAATTACAATTCATTGGATTATTCTATTCGACTTCTTTGACAAACTAATCAAAATTTAGCAGTGTGTAAGCTACGTATCGTCGCTTCAATCTTTCATCAACAATAAAATTTTAACTCGAAAAAAGCAATGGTGATATCTAATGAACGATTGTAATCAAGAACATGAATAAAAAAAGTCAATCACAATCTGCTTTTATTCAAAATGTGGTTTGAATAGTATCGATTGCGCACAGATAAAAAGAGCGAGAAAATTCAATGCACAAAAAAAATATCGATTGATATTTGTCAAAAATGATGTATACAAGATTAAACAATGAAGAACATTATTTAGTCATTGTTAATAGACCCATAGTTCCATTCATTGTTGATCGATATCGGGTGAATGAGCCCCTAGTATCTTCTAAGTAGTAGTTTTCTTAATAAGTCTCATTCAATTTAGACGATAGTTTAATAAAATTTTGTATCATGAGCGACTCTAGATAACAGAAGCATAAAAGCTAAATTGAGTAGCGTCAATTTAGGATACATGTAAATCCCATGAAAGAGTAAGAAATCAAAATTCATATCCACGGAAGACTATTCCAGGAGACTTTAGCAAAAAATGCTGATTATTGCATGTCTCTCTCTCCTTGTCAAATGCTTTCTAATTCATCACCATTACATTTATCATAGTACTGTTCTCTATTTTCTGGTTGTTCAAACTCAATTACAGTGAGCTTCAGTTTAAAACGATCACATATCAAGTTTCTTTTTTAAGAATAAAAAGTCGATACTGTTGAACTGTTATTAACTGAAAATTGAATATCGTTTGAGAGAATTATTTTGAAGATTCACAGTACTTGATGACATTGCCACATTAATTTTATTATTTCATTCTAAATCGTCGACATTCATGATTGTTGATCGTTTCTTGTCGTCATAAATTCCAAACAGATTTTTATCATGTTTTATTGCGAATCCTTTATAATCGTTTTTCTCACCCGAGTATATAACTTCACCAACAATGGCAAATAAATTGTCATTTTTTGTCGCTGTGATCGATCAAACAAACTCTTTGATAGATGTTTGTTCGTCTGGTAAAATTGTTGAATCAATTAAATCATTTGATTGTACTATGCTCTTACGTATTGTTCTATCTAGATGATTCTCTGTAAAACCACCTTGTCATCTTGAAATAATGCTTTCAAATTATCTGAATGTTCATTAATAACATATACAATATTAGCATGAACTACTTTTTAATATTCAAAACATTCGCACAAGTGTCCAGCCATTCTCATGCACAACATTGAACTACTAGTTCATTTTCATGGTTTAGTCATAGTTAACGCACATTATGCAGATTGGGTATGACTTAGTGGATAATAATGCCTTTCACACTTATGTGATGAAGTAAACTTTTAATTAATCAGCACATGATCATGATTGTTCTTTGATCAATGGAATTCAACACTAGCTGGTCTAGTTAACGCTAGTTGCTCCGATTCGATTTCTCTGGATAGATCATCAACTTACATATCAATGAGCAATCTCAATGCTTCCAGGATCTGCTTTCATATCAGCGATAGTTTTGATTTGTGTGGTAGTGATTCTCCTTTTAAAATAGCTTTATGTAAAAATGTTGATAATAATGTTCTATTCGTTTTTTTCATACTATCTTCGAATCAATCTCGTTCATACAAGTGCCTCCGAGTAAAACCTTCGTAATTAAAAAGATTTCTCTGGTAGTAAACAAGCGAGTTGCGCATTCTTGGGGTTTGTTATGTTGAGCATTGTTCTACGGAAGTTCAAGACTTCTGGGCAATATTGAAATCTTGCATAGGAGTAGAGACGATAGTTGAATACACGATAATTTATTAAATGGTGACGAATATCTTTGTAATAGAAAGTGTCGTCCACGGAACACACACAAATGATGTCATGATAAAGCGAATCCATGCTTGTTGCCATAAAAATGGTGATCATGATGTCAATAAAAAATACGTCAAACATTCTACCATCAATATTAATGGAAAATTTTAGAAATTATTAAGCAGTTTCGGTGAATTCTGGAACTTTTGAGTGATTTCTAAAATTTTCAATGTTTTAAAGGATGAGGTCTTCTTGTTATTATAAAACTACATATATATGTTTAAATAACATATATATAGAAATTTCCTGGTAATTTCAGTAATTGTTCTATGATGTCTAAAATTTCCAATATTTCCAGGGGTAAGGTATTATTATGCTAGTATGAGTAATTAGTTATGTTCATATAAAAACTATCAAGAGAAATTTCCATATTTACCGATATTTACTGAAAAGTGCTGTATTTTTTAACAGAAGGTTGTTGATTGCTTTAATGACAATGATGGTAACCTCTAAACTTTCCTGCTGTTGTAATTTTGCTGTGCGATTATTTTCTAAAATTGAATTATTTATGAGAGAAATTTTTGCTTTTTCGAAAGTCTGAACAATATTGTAAGCTTCTGTAATGACACACGTATTATTGTGAAATACAATATTTAAGCAAATATTGACTTCTCATATTAGATATATAAAGTCAAACTAATAGGGTGAATATGAGAAAGCTATAAAATAGTAAAGAGTATATGAGCATGTAGATATTGCAGTTTATGAGTACATCGTTGAAAAAAAAGTGCATTTCACTTGGACTTAATTTTGAGACACAAATTTCGAAACAACGTCTTACTTGTGATCAATAGAGAAAAATGCTTACAAGAAAAATATAAAATCTTTTTCAATCTTAGAAGCAAATATTTTTTCATGTATAAAATTATGTCAACTTCACAAATCATAATCATTTGAATATTATCCTTCTTTTATTTTATTAAAAAAGTCTGAAATTAAAAAACAGCCAGTCTCATTATATTCGTTGACTCAAAAACAAAACACAAATAACCTGCATAACAAAAGAAAAATTAAGTACATATCACAAAGGAGCAAATGAAAATGAACGAGAAAATAAATTATTTTGTAACTTTCATGAAAGACAAATATTGAAAGAATACATGAAAATCTTCATTCATTTTTTTTAATAGGAAATAGCCTATGCACGTTTCTTACACTGAATACATGCATATACCGGTAAAGCAAAACAAGCAATAATAAGAACGATTGGAATTCCGATAGCAACAAGAGCAATAACTGCAGCTAACGCAACTGGTGTGAGAAGCAGAACACCAGCAAATATCGAACCACGTACTAGCCAACGTAATAATGGACGATTTGGCCAAAGTTTATATTTACAACCGAATATTGAATATTTGGCATCATGTCCAATATAAGTAGGTAATCTCATTCTACTTCCACAACGATAACAAAATTTCGCTTGGCATTTGACACATAACATATGATCACATCCATCAATTTTTTCAATATAAATTGAACATTTCGGGCAACGTTGAGCATTTCGTTGGTTATTATCCGAACGACGTATTTTAGCCCACACATCAAGTCTTGCATGATCTTTTTTAAATTGCCGACATGTTATATTAGGATGTGATGGTGCATAGCATGACCAACACCATTCTTTATTACATTGTTCACAACATACCCATTGTGTTGACGGACGACGAAATTTTGTTCGATTTATTATTGGATTGTCTTCGCCAAGTATGGTTATAAAATTGCAATGTGGACATAATTTTATATAAGTATTTGGTTTTTCAGATAAATTCTGTGCTAAAATTTCTTGATAACGTTCACGTACTGATACTGGTAGTTCACTATTGTACAATATCGTTGAGGAATTGATATCTTGTGAACATGCTGGACATTCAATTTTTGCTTTTCCATTACGAATATTTGTTATTGTATGAGTTACAAGACATAATGAACAAATTTTTGTTGAACAACAGGGCATCTGTTTTAATTCATTCAGTTGAATACCATTACAACATATTGGGCATTCATCTAGATCTATATGATCATTTGAATTTTCACGAAAACTAGTGGTTATTACTTGACTACAATAAAGCAATAAAATTCTATGTTCATGTCGAATAGAATCAAAATTGTTGATCTGTTCTAGATGGTGACTTACTTTTCAACATATACTTTACTCATTTCAAACCCTACGGTGCACACCAATTTTGTGTTTCTTTCAAGAATTGTTTTTTTTGTTTGAAATCGGGACACTAACATTGTAGAAATTTTATACTTTTTGCATTTTTTTTTTTTTTGAATAGAAGAAACAAAAAATTTAATACGTCAGTGTTTTCGTTTTTTCCATTAGTAAAAAGGAAAAAGAATGAATCATCTACTCCACGTCATTCTGTGTGACTATGTATATATTGGAAAGTTGGAAGAAAAACATGATTTGTTTTAAGAATTTTTTTCCGATCGAAAACGCTCAAAAAGGAAGTTGTTAAACACAAAAATATTCTATCTGAAAAATAATCCAATTCCTGTTACTAATTAAACGTGAACTAATCTAAATAAAAGAAAATAGCCTTAAGGTCTATTTGGATTAATACAAAAAAACAATTTCAGCTGCGTTTAAAATTTTGCTTGTAGTGTTTTAGAAAGCGATGAACATTTCATATGGAAAGAATACAATGAGATTTGTTTTCTCATTAGAGCTCAATAATTATTTCAATTTACCCTCTATTTGTTGTTCCTGTTCGAACTTGTGAAATATTCACTTCACTAATTTCAAGAGATTTTGATAAATCAGTCATGAATATTGATCTTAATGAGCCATAACGTGTTAATTCAAATTCAGTATCATAATTGATTTTATAATGAATTTTGCTATGAGTATTTCCGTCTCTTTAACGTCGATGAGAAGGCCACGTTTGCAAATGTCGATTTTGTTCTGATTGATTTTCAATAAAAGCTATCTGTTAGAAAAAAAAGTGGAAAATAACAAGAAGACAATAGCAAAAGGAAAAGGAAGTTGTAGTAATGATCATTCAATTTATTTTATAAAAGTAGCAAAACCAAAAAAAAATAGAAAGAAGGGATCTTTTTTTTATGGTCTTTCTCTCAATGACTTTCTCGGTCATGACGAGTGTTGATGACAAACAATCATAGAGAACGTAGAACGAGAGAGAGAAGAAATATGACTGCAGCTCCGACAAGACACAACACAACACAACATATACACATTGCATGCATGCTTATTCATTCTGTATGCCTATTTGCGTGACTAGCCTCTTTAAAACGCCTGTCAGAGTAGCGAAGGTAAGTAAGAAGAAAAAAATATTTGTTCGGGTGAAACAGAATAACGTAAGAAACGAACGTCACATGAGAAAGTCACCATTCGAACGAGTAAGGGAAAGAACAGAGAAATAACGAAAACATTTGCAGAAAAAATCATACATTCGAAGACTTTTTTTTATGAATAAGAAATAAAATGTTTTACACGAACTAATATCATGTTTTGGATCAGTTAATTTAAACTATACATACAGTACAATTATGTTCTGTAGGTGTCAGTGTCAACCAGTAGACAAGTCTTCGCAATATATTTTGTATTTGCATTAATTAATCGTCATATTTTATACATCTATGAAACAATAATCTTTTAGTCATATATATTATGGTGTATATCGAAAAGGTCATTATAGTTAATAATTGGAAGTTTTCATATTTGACGTTGACATTGGATTTAATCGTAGTATAAATGCACGGTGTTTTGAAACAACCGAAATATAATAATCATATTTTTAATTGAGATAACGTGTGATAACTAAAGAAAAAAGATAAAAGAAATAAACATTTTTTCCAGCCATGGTGTAGATAGAAATTTTTGAGTCATGCTGAACTTTCCCATCACACTTTTTTGAGATATGGACAGCTGTCACCATCTCAGACAAAATTTGTGACCAATTACTATTGAATTAAAGCATAGATTGTGTTATTATTTACTAATACACATCTGACGAATACTGATGATTCAATAAAAAACAGTTGAAGAAAAAAAAAAGTATTTAAGCAATAAAGAAAAAGATAAGTTAAAAGACTAAGTGATAACATACATAGACGTTATCACATATAAAGCCCAGAGAGTGCGTAAAATGTTTTTACAGGGAAGTATAACACTGTGATTTTAAGTAACAATAACAAGGACAACAAGTTTTATATCAAATTGAAATGCATCGAAAATGAAATTTATCAAAACTCAATAGTAAGGGTTATGACAACTTTTCAGTCTCAAATTCAGGAAATTTCTAAAACTTTACGTTATGTCAGCAAAGAAAAATTCCTTTTATGACCCAGTTCAAACTAGATCTCATTTAAAATAACGAATATCAAAAATTAATATGTATTTTTGTTTTAAGATTCGATGAATATAGCGAATAATCAGTACGCCGACCATTAGCATTTTTACAACAGGAAGATAAAAAGAATACGAATACGAACACGAACATAAAATAATTTCACATAGATCAGCGTTTATTTCCATGTTTGCCTAAAATATGTTTTTTTTTAGAATTTCTTGATCAAAACACGGATGTTTCATTTCTGAGAGTAATTTTCTTCAGCTTCATTTTTTATTATTGTTTCAATATTTTCACGTCAGATATCCAGTATTTAGGAATATTCATCATTTTATATGAGATCTAGTTTGAATTAACTCATGAAAGGAATTTCCCGCTGCTGATATAACATAAAGTTTTAGAAATGTCCTGAATTCGACACTGAAAATTTGCCATAACTATTACTATTTAGTATTAGTATATCCCATTCTGGACTTGCTTTTATTTGATATAATATTTATTATTGGTGTTATTTGAAATCACAACGTTACCACCTTGGAAAAACATTTTTACACACTCTATGTAAAGCAACCTGATAGATTTTGTCATTGAAGATCATAATAATCTAGGACAATTCTTTATTCAAAGATATGTTTTTCTTACAAGCATCAACTGTTGATAACACATATAAACATGTACGAATATATAGTTGATTATCATGTGTGCAAGCTCTATCATGCAGGCAAAGCATGTTTTATATTATTCGAATATAGAATCTGTCTATCGGTTAAATCTTAGAATTTGATAACATTCACTAATCCATTTTATTATTCATTGGTATTTTAGAAAAATAGTAGTATGTAGTAGAAAAGAAGAATAATAATATCTATTTTGATGTTTTTAATGCGCGTAACACATGCATGAAAGAAAAAGAAAAAAATCTCTATGATGATATTACATTGCAAAAGCTGTATGATAAAATATATGAAGATAACGAAAAACAATCAGGAATATTAGAAAAACATATGTGTATTTGCCGATAGTCTTCAAGTAGTTACCGTCTATATGAGCTATTTTTCTCTCTCTATCTCTCTTGAAAATCGTTTAATGCGAAAATAAATGTCCGCTTGAAGCTCTATCCATCTATTTATTTATCTCTCCACTTTATCGACATCGAGGTTTGTCACAAGTCCATGTTTGTGCTCGAAGATCTTCATCTTATTCTTCATTATTTTGTGTGTTCTACATAACAAAAAAGAACGACTAATAGCAATGAAGTCTAGAAAAGAGAATCGAATAGACTGGAATGTCTTCAAGCGTTTGTCTTCGTGTTTTCTTGCTTGCTTGCTCGCTCGGTCGCTTGCAAACTCCTTGCATACATGCGTATATATATACAGAGTAGAGAGAAGACACAAAGAATTAGAACAAAAAAAAACCAAGTGATCTGAAAATCATCATCGTCGCCTTCTTTGCCTATCGTGTAGAACGCGCACAAATGCAAGTCAACGTGCTACTATTGTTGCACAGCTCGGAATACTCTTTGCATTTGCATCAGCGTCATCATCGTGCATCGCTGTTACTTCGCTTCGTTGTCGTCGACAACGATGTTGTAGTCGTCGTCATTCTTCTGTTTCTTGCCGCGCGTTTTCTATCTAAGAAATTATGGAAACGATATGAAGAAAAGATAAAAGAGAACAGAAAAGGAAGGAAAATAGGAAAAAAAAAGAATGAAGGAAGTTTCTGCATGTTATTGCTTCTTCTATTAGTTGGTTTGGCACTATTTCCAAAAAAAAATAAAAATAAAGCAGCCGACTGTCCCTCCTCACTCCGTGTATGTGTATGTCAGATCCTCCGCTCTCACTCGTTCTTTCTCAAGCGATCGTTATTCTTCTATGTGTCTCATTTTGACTGACTTTGTCCTACTACTAGTACAAATAGTTTGAACGCACATGTATATGCAGATGCCGATACATTTATATAGATATATATATAAATATATACATATATGAATATATAATTAATCAAGACAAAAGAATCGGTCGCATACCACTTAACTCTTTTTTTTGTCTCTTTCGTACGTTACAGATTCTAACGGTAAAGACTCATGTCGTTGCGTCTCATCGAACTTGGCCAATTCCGCAGCGTCGATTTCCTGATTGTCTTGCTGCAACTCGTTGTTAACTGTGATGTATGTCGTCTCTTCTCTTATTTCTGTGATCATTCCAACAATACTGCATCTACTATCACCGTTCGTGATCGTCATCCTATACTATTAGCCTCTGCAGACGTACAATAAACTTATTTTTACTGTGGTTGAACTCAATTGTTGACATTCATCTATTCATTCGTACTTTGTAACCATATCGAGCAGCTATTTTTAGGGATTAATCGTGTTCATTACTTATCGTAGGACAACAAAAAAAAAAGAACCAGAGACTTGGATAAAATTAACCCGGTGAACAACTAAATATATAATATCGCACGCGCACTCTCGCCGGAAATCGAATGCTGGCCGAGTCAGTGCATTGATGATGCGAGTATGAAAAAACAGAACGTTCGTACTTTAACACTTATTGTTTCGACATTCAGGTTTGTCTATAAAGATTTTTAAAAAGGCTTGAATAAAAAATTCATCCGTGACCTTTGTTTTTATTTTCAGCTATCTGCTCGTTGGTGCGGCCATATTTGACGCGCTCGAATCTAATACAGAAGATTTGTTGCGCAAACAATATCAATTGGCTGAAACGGGCATGCTCCTTACATATAACATATCCCATAGTGAATATATAGAACTTGAGGATATTGTTATCAAATATCAACCACATAAAGCTGGTGCACAATGGAAATTTCCTGGAGCATTCTATTTTTCTCTTACTGTTATAACAACTATTGGTAAGATATATTAATAAATGTACATTTTGTATTTTAAGTATTTGATATTTTCACAAGGTCATTTTTATTTTCATATACAACATTTCTAATTTTTCCTTTGTTTGTCGTCTCTATAGATATTCAAATATTTATTTGTATAGGTTTTTACCGAGAGCAAAGAAATGATAAAAAAAAGGTACTTATTGCATGTCAATTAATGCAACTTATGATTCTAGCATATTCTCTTATTACTGATGGCTAAAGAAAAGACATTTCTATCTTGCTCTAGACCGTAATATCATTTGGGTATAACTAAGTAACTTACTTCTTTTAACTGATTAAAACATTTTCTTACATAATCACGTGTCACCAATGTGTTTTCTACAAGAAAAACAGATTTCATCGATGCTCTTTCTTTTCCTTCGTTTTATTTTGTTGCATTATCTTAAAATCATTAAAAAAATCTTTTAGATCATGTATCGAACTTTTTTTTGGAATCATTGTGAAACATTTATCCTGTTAATTTCTAGTTTCAATTGACTGCATCATTTCTTGCTAGTTGGAAAGACAAAACACAAAGAAAGAAAAGAAATGGTGGGTGGGGACTTGAACGGTGTTTGTTAATTACTGTTGCACAGACGCACACACGCACACACACACAAATCTTTTTTTTTTGCAACTTAAGCTAGACGAATATAGCAAGATTACATTCCTTGTGTTGCTAATAACATTCGACTCATTAGACTCTGTTGACCGCGTCAATTGTACAAATTATTTGATAGTCGATAGAAGAATCACAGGGGAAACATAATTGTCAAAACCATAGTAATAGAATACTAGCTGTCCCTATGACGTCAAGGGATAAGTGTTATATCGGATACACACACACGCACATATATATATATATATAAATAAATCTGCATATACATATCAAGGTAATGACATCGAGATGAAACAGAAATCATTCGTCTGTTTAATGCATTATTTTTTGTTTTTAGTAGTAACATTGTGACGAATATTTATAACCAGCAACATTCTTCGTGTAGTTTGCATTAATACATTATTCTTTGCTTCTATTTTAGTTTATATGATTGTTAGTAAAATCAAGTCATTGTGACCATACAATATATAAAATAACTATTTATAGGCTTTGAGTAGAAAAAGTCAATGTAATGAATACGTTTATATTTATTTATAGAAAACCTGGCATCTAATTCTCCAATGTTAATATTCGACATTTTACGGAAAGATTAATAATTTTCCTTGACATTTATTAGATATATAAAGCTTAGAAAAAGCGTTATAATTCAAAATCAGAATAAATATAAGTCAAACGATCTGACAAATAAAAAAAAGTACACCATCCATTATTCTTTTTTTCTTTACGTAATCTAATTCTAAGAATTGTTATAGCGAAATATCTATGATGAAATTTGATGCATACAAGAGACTATTTTATATATTTGCTTCGCAAAAATGTACTCAATTTATAAAAGAAAAAAAAACCATTTTCATTATGACACAAAGCTCTTCAGTCGTCCATCATTCCGAATAGAAACAAAACTTATACTATTAGCTTCGAAGTTCCCTCGAACAAATCTCTGTTCTTGTTATGATATACTTGAACACACAAGTCCACTCACTGGAATTAGAATCGATCGCAAAAACAAAAAAAGAAAGATGAATTAATTCTTCTTGTTTCATATTCTAGGCTATGGCCATTCTTGTCCTACTACAAGTAAGTTTAATCATGATGATTTTTTTTAACCAAAACAAAAAAAAACAAATGTTTATTTTAGTTTGGGGAAAATTCTTTTGTATGCTATATGCTGTTATTGGTATTCCACTTTGTCTTGTTATGTTTCAATCTGTTGGTGAACGTCTAAATAATTTTGCTAGTTGGTGTATAAAATCAATTAAAAAATGTGTTAAACTACGTCATTATGAATCAACACAAACTGAACTTGTTATTGTTGGAACTGTTCTAGCTGTTGGTGTTGTTACAGGTGGTGCCGCTATGTTTCATCATTACGAATCGTGGGGATATTTTAATTGCGTTTATTATTGTTTTATAACATTAACAACAATAGGTAAATAAAATAAAATTTATTGAATAGTTATTATTTATTTTGAATATATATATATATATTAGGTTTTGGTGATTTTGTTGCTTTACAAACAAATGAAGCATTGAATACGAATGCTTTTTATGTTGTTTTATCTATGACATTTATTCTATTTGGTTTAACAGTTGTTGCGTCATCGATGAATTTACTTGTATTACGATTTTTAACAATGAATACTGAAGATGAACGTCGTGAAGAAATTCAATCAGCTGTAGCACGTAATTCACTACGATTCGATAGTGATATCATTAGTCCAAACGGTATTAATATAAAAAAGAAAACTAATTAGAAAAGTTTTTTTCAAATATTTTTTATTATTTTATTTAGGTGCACTTATTCCATCTTTAATCTCGGATCAATATGATTATTTATCAACTGAATTAACACCATCTGAATCAGAACCATGTCATTGTTGTTCATGTTTTAAACGTAAAAAGAAAGATCGTAAAAAATTTACTGTTCGCCGTATGCCGGGAAAAATTGCTCATCTTGTACCAATGCAACGTTTTGATTCGGTAATGATGAAAAAAGTTTTATCTGATGCTAAACCGTCCAATACTGATTATTATCTACATGCATCAACTAAATTATCATCAATGCCAACAACATCAGCACACGTAACTAAAACATTATTAGATGAACCTCCAATGATTGATTGGTCACCACCGCCACCATTTTCTTCTTCTTCTCATCTTCCTGTTCATTCATCCACGTCAAATAATTCTTTAAAACTACCTTATGAACAAGGAAAATGTGTGAATCGTAATGATCGTGACAAAGCTATTTCTCAAACGAGATTACAAACAAACTTTTCTCGTTTTCGACAAGATGCTGAGTTAATTCCACTTCGACTGGATGTCAATGTCAAACGATCTTCCGTGTGATCTATTCGTTTGAACGAAAAGAATATCGTTTGTTTCTCTATTTTCTTTCCTTCGATTTTTCTTTGTTCAAAACGAAAACCTGTCTCTATTCTCTACCTCTTTCTTTTTTCTAATTTATTTTTCTTTTCTCTTGATTGATAAGTTCTCATTATGTAAAATGAACATATTTTTGTTTCATTTTCATTATCATTGAAGAAGAAAATAGAATTACACATAAACACATAGAAATAAGCATATCGAGACACGAAGCAAATGAATATGAAATGTAAAAAAGAAATGATAAGAGATTCACACACATAATTTTTTTCGATTATTTGATAAACCTAACATACATATTTGCATAAGAAAAAATAAGAACATTTAATCGAAATCATCATCATCTGAAATATGATAAGTTTTCTTAGCAGCACCATCACGTTGTGTACGAGCCTAACAAAATAATATCAAATTTAAAGAAATAAAAACAAAACAAGATACTAAGAATTTCACTTACCTTTTTAGTTGCATTAGGTGATGTTGATATAATGGCGATATCATCATCATCACTCTCCTAAGAATATCATTAAAAATATAATTTATTTGCTCTCTTGGATTTAATAAATAAAAATACTCACAGCTGATGGTTTTGGTCGTTTTGCTGTTTTTATCTCTTTCTTAACAGTTTCTTTCTTTGTTGTTGCACCAGATTCTTTTTTAGCCTAAAATATATTTGAATAAGAAGAAAACTAACTCGAATAAATATTGCTATACTCGAGGTTTTTTTGGTTTTTCTGTTTTATTTTCATCTTTATTTTGTCGATTTTGCATAAGAACACTTAATGCATTTTTCTTTTCGGGTGACTAAAATAAAAAAACGGAAATTCAAAATATAAATTTTATATTTTTAATTTCATAAACTAAAAAAACAAAAAAAAATATAATTTACTTGTACTTTTGGTTTTGATTTTGTTTTTTTAATTTTCTTTTCCGTCCCAGAATCATTACCAGCATAATCTGATTCATTATCATTAATGTTTTCTTGATTTTCATCACTCTCTTCATCACTACCATATTTAACACCTTTTCCTTTTGCTGTACGTTTTGCATTACGTTTTGGTGATATTTCTTCTTTGATATTTTCCGAATTATCTTTTCCATCTATTGAAATTATTGATGAATTACTATTTTCATCCACTGTACCATCTATTTTCTTTTCTTTTGTTGTTTCACTTGATTTCTTTTCTATAATATATCAATGTTAATATTGAAGATTGAAGAAAAAAAGAAAAGAAATTTTCAAACCTGCGGCATTGCCGATTCGTTTCTTTTCTTTACAACGTATTTGCATTATTTCAGATATTTCTTGAGATGTAACACCTTCTTTAACAAGATATTCAATAATTGTTCGTTTATCAGCAATAGTTTTTTCTTCCTAAAATGAAAATTTTTGTTTTTATTTTTCACAAAATTAAAAATCAAACAAAGAATGATCTAAAACATACTCGATTACGTTTAATAAGTTCTTCAGTGACTTTTTTGACAAATGCTGGATCAATAATTGGTTGAATACGTTGACCGTTTGGAGCCGGTTTTGTTTCAGCACGTTGTGGTTTAGTTATTTGTTTTTTACGATTTTTACCATCAGTAGCAGTAGTGCCAGCGGCTTTTTTTGTTGTATAGTGGGCGACTTCAGACATTTCATCAGCACGTTCTTTTTCAATAGTCTAGATATTAAAATTTAATTTAAGAAAATTAATACTGATAAGAAAATGTGTATTTTTTCCTGCAGCATTTGGTCTTTAATAAGTACATTATTTGAATCAAACTATGTTTGCTGGAAGAATTTCGTCATAAACATTGAGGAAGTGTTATTTATAAGAATGCCTGTGGTAAACCTATTTCAGCTAAGCACATAATCATTATGAATTATTTCATTGAAGTCTAATGAATTTTTTATGCTTTAAGTTGATGACGATAAGACTAGACGAGAACTTATATTTTATTGATGATTACATTTAGTTACTATGTGACAGAGTCCATACGAGCAAACAAGTACACACTCGTTACTAGATATAAAGCTTTCAGTGCTATCAAGTAAAACCATATAGAATTTTTACAATACTGCATAAATTCTATTAAAGTTCTCTTGATGGTTTTATGTAATTACTCTAATATTTCTTAAAATATTTCAGTTCTTTGTTCGAAATTTCACTGATAGTAGTCTATGGTGTATCATCGAACAAAAAAAGGTTTTTGCACATTGAAGCTACGAAAATAAATTTTTGCTTATGAATAAATATCATTTTTCTATGCAATTCTTACAGAAATACAGTTATTCAAATTATGCTACAGTCTAGCAATCAAATGTGACTGATAACAACATGTCAATTTCTTTGAAAGTCTTTTCGTTATGAAACCAATACTTGACCTAGGATTAGTCGTCAATTATACAGATAGTAAAGTTGCAACATATTCTGTATGGTTTACAAAAGTTGGTGGCCACATGAAAGTTCGAAAATTCTGATGGGATGTTTCGAAAAAAGACTCACAAGGATACTAACAAATTTTTAAAAATCTTGCCAATTGTATTAAACAATAAGAAATAATTTTGAATTATTTGTCGAAGGGCATACCTTCAACAATCTCAGACTTTTCCGATTTCTAATTAAAGTAAATCATGATCAATTATACGTGTGATATTCTTCCCTTTTAAGATAAAACATTTCGATAAAAAGAAAGCTGTTAGCGCAATCCCTAGAGGATTAATATGTGAAACACGATATAGCTGCTGTTGCTAATCACATGAACATTGTTTTATTATATATATCTTGGGGCATATTTCTTCATTATCAATTTATTTAATTGTTCAGAAATGCAATAAGGAAGTAGTTCATTTTTTTTAATGAGATGTTATTAATATACCATTTTTGATATGCAGGGAGCTGGAAATAAGTGTGGCGAAGATGTATGTCACGATCTGTGATAGTCTCTGACTAGCATCTGTGATGATCTGTGAGAGGAGGAGAGTCCGAATTCTTACTCCTATACTTCAATACTCCTTTTAGATAGTGCCTCACACAATGAAGCGAAATGGAAGAAGGCATGAATGTAAAACAGATGATAAAAGATAACTTACTTTATGATATTCAGCTTCAAAATGATTAAGATCATCTTCGTATAAATCTTCAGGAGATTTTTTTTGTAAAGCTTCAAGCTTGTCATGTTTTTCTTGTTGTTCTTTAAGAATTTCATTTCGTCGTTCTTTTGTTAAATTACGTAGTGACATATTAATTAAATAATCATAATAGGTTGTATCAATTTTATTTGCAGTTGATGATGTAGTTGGTTTTGCTTTTTTATTAGTATTGTCATCATCATCACTTTTTTCATCTTCTTCATCATCTTGTTTTTGTTGTAAATCATCTGGTTGATCTGAATTATCACTATTAGCATTGGCTTGAATATCAATAGCAAACTAAATAAATGAATCATTTAAATAAATTGAAATATTTCATTTATTTTACCTTCTTTTTTGCTTCTTCACGCCAAACCTTTTCTGGATCTCGATCATATTTACGTTCGATAAGCATTTCAACAACTGCACTTATCTTTTTATTTTCAACACTAATTATATTTTCGATTTTTTCTTTAATAAATCGTGCTACATTATCTAATTTTAAACATTGTGATTGTAATGTTCCAACCATATATTCTTTCCGTTTAACATACATTTTAAGACGAACCATGAAAAATTCTTGACAAATTTCTTCAGGACTTTTGTAACGATGTAATATACCATTATGATCGAAAAGAACCATATTTGTTAATTTAAATGTTTCTTGTAAACGAAAACTTTTATGAAGACCAGATTCATTAAATTTAACAAATTGGTCTTGTGATAATTTAACAACAAAACGAACTGTTGTATCAGTATGATATTCTAGTTAGACAAAATAAAGAATATATTTAGCAAAGTGTTTTATTGCTAATTAACTGTTGTTAAGCTTATGATCTCTTAAAAGGATCTGGTTGAAAATCATGAATTTTTCCTAGGTCTGGAAATAGTATAAAGTGAAAATACCATAACAGTAAACAACTGCTGTGTTATTCGTTTCTTCAGATTTGATCCCTGTTGTTGACAAAAAATTTAGAGATATTAGAATTTCCTGTGTTGTCTTGGAAAAAATTAGACAACAAACAGTGAACCATTCCCAGATGCTCATTCGCTTTTGAGTCAAGACTTTGTGCATTTTGTAGACCTTGATGAATTATATCTACTATAAAAAAAAATTGTGTTCCTAGCCTGTTTTTGAGAAGATCGAATGTCTCTACTATTACAGTCATAAGAGATATCCTATCAGAAAAAATTATTACCGGAGCCAATATAAATTGAAACAAGCTGAGATTTTCCTTATGTATAGTGGTACTCATGTGGGTAGATCATGAGAAAGTTTATTTCCAAATGACCTTGTAAAGACGAGTCATCTCAAATATTGATGTAATTTTCAATGCTATTAATTACACTACTTCTTAAAATGAAGAGACATCGAATTGAAATTGTTTGAATAGTGAGCACCAATGTCGTAATACTATTTCAGATACTTGATAATTGTAACGTGTCACCATAATTTATTTAGCTGTTCGTCTATCTGGACGTTCGTATCTATACTTATATTGTAAGTTAAATATACGGAGACTTCTTTCATATACAGGTCATATAAACATGATCAATGAAAAGAAATGAACTACAGAAGTGCATATGATTAATGACATTGAAAATTACATCAATATTTGAGATGACTCGTCTTTACAAGGTCATTTGGAAATAAATTTTCTCATAATCTACCCACATGAGTACCACTATACATAAGGAAAATCTCTGCTTGTTTCAATTTATATTGGTCTCGATAATGATTTTTTCTGATAGGATATCCCTTATGACTGTACTAGTAGAGATGTTCGATCTTCTCAGAAACAGGCTAGGAACACAATTTTTTTTTATAGTAGATATAATTCATCAAGGTCTACAAGATGCACAAAGTCCTCACTCAAAAGCGAATGAGCATCGGGAAATGGCCCACTGTTTGTTGTCTAATTTCTTTCCAAGTGAACAGAGAGAATTCTAAAATCTCTAAATTTTTTGTTAACAACAGCGATCAGATCTGAAGAAACATCCCAGTAGTTGTATACTGTTAAGATACTTTCATTTTATACTGTTTCCAGACCTAGGAAAAATCGATGATTTTTGACCAGATCCTTTCTAATAGAAAAGAGATCATTTTAAGTATGATATAATCAAACATTTTACCTATTTTGAATTGTTTCTTATTGTAAACCAAGCAAACATAATTATTTAGGGCAGTTGTGAGTCGGATTAAACTTAGATTTTTTTTTGAAAATAGAATGTTTACATTTTAACATCTTTGAAGTGTGTTAATAGGTATTTTTTTCTTTGCAAATAACTTTAAATTTAGGTTTTTGTTTATAAAAGTGGATATTTTATTGTCTTGTCGAACTGTATGAAAGAGAACTGTCTATTATACTGCCATTATTTTGTTATGTCATTTTATTTTATGTACGATTGTTCTTATTTCGTTTTTGTGCATAAAAACCAGGAACAAGATATCGTGAGATGAAAAAATGTTATTTAACATTCTTTATAAAAAAATAAACAGAAAACGAAAAAAAAGCTGGCAAAAGTAACTGGACTTCACTCGAAAAGTGACTTGACTCGTCCATTCCTGTAAACTCCATCCTAAAGTTTCTTTCATAAAATTTGAATAATCTAACGAGCATACTTTCTATGGTCGAATGAGCTACAAAATAATTCTTGTGAGTATATTTTCTTTTCTGAGGATCATTGTAAATGGAACAAAAATGGGTTAAGTCTGAACTAAACAATGAAACATATTTGATAAAATTACCTTTATAATCAAGAATACTTGGAGCGATATCATTTCGTTTTGGATGAAGCATTGCTTCAAGAATAGTTTCTTTATAATGTTGTGTCCAAGTACCAATTGGTAAATCAGTTATTTCAATAGATGTTTCATCAAGTTTAGCACAAACACCATTAATAACTCCACGTGAACGATCATTATCTAATAATTTAATTTCACCAGTAAAGTTTTTATACCATGGAATTAATTCTTCTAATGTAAATACATCCGAATATTGTTTTGGTTGAGATGTTGGATTATTTAATTGATGTTGTCGTTCACGTTCTTGACGAATATAATATCTCATATTATTACTTAATGTTAATGGATTATATGATGGTATATCAGTTGAATAACCTGTACCAACACCCTGTGCACCATTAACAAGAACAGTTGGAATTATTGGACAATACCATTCAGGTTCAATACTCATACCATCTTCATTTAAATATGATAATAATGGTTCATCATTTTTATTGAATAATGATAAAGCAAGAGGACTAAAATCAAAATCAAAAGTAAATTATGGGCATGACCAACTATTGATTATCCACGCATAGAAAAAAGGTTCGAACTTAAGCTGAGTGTACCATTGAAAAGTGCACGATCTATAGTTTTTGAAATGAAAATATTTCTATTTCAATGTAGTATTCAATGCTCTGCACGAGATGCGAATGTTGCTTTTGGTGGGTGTGAATGTGGATTAAGAAAAGAACCACACCCACACCCAACATGCAACATTTGTACAAATGTTAGATATCTACATACTAAGATAAAGCGCTCAAAAATCATCTCTATTTTTGATGGAATTCCGTAATGAACACTATTTGTATTTTGTTATCCAATGTCGCTATGCTTATTAAGAAATAATCTGATATTATGAAAACTTGTTGAAGACTGGTCAACTTTTACGCAGATAGTTTACATGTACATCACTTCATCTTGTGGTAAAATACTAAACTCTCAGCTTTGCTAAAAACAATGTTCGTTTTTTTAATAGCTCATCAGCTTTAACTAAAAGAAAATCAATGAAATGTTTACTGATAGTAAATCTGTATGGTATGTATCTATAATAAATGTTTTAGAGAATTTTCTTTTGCCATAAACGAGAAATAGATGTTACAATGTAAACAAAATGAAATGTCGTAACACTTAACCATGCCGTTATGCATGTCAAACTTTGTGTTCTTTCTTTTACCTAAGTCGAGTAAAAATATAACGTGCAGAGGCTGCATCACTACCACCATGTAAACGTGTACCGAATTGACCAGCTGGTACAAGGAAGTTAATATTATTTGAGCCAACAAAATTTTGTGCAAGGCCAACAATTGTATTTGTTAATGATTGTTCGCCATGATGATAAGCAGAATTTTCGGCTACTTTACCACCTAATTGTGCTACTTTTATCTCACGGATTAAGTTTTTCGTAAAACAAACAAACATTATTTTACGTTGACCAGGTTTAAGACCATCCTTTAAAAAGAATAATTTGAGAAAAAAAAAATACTTTATTTTTATTATTTTTTACCATAATACTTGGAATTGCACGCTCTGTACTTGATTTAGAAAAAAGAACAAGTTCTTTATTAATAAAATCATTAAAATTTATTGCTTTGGTATCGTTTTTATATAAATAATCGGCTGGTAAATTTTGTTCACGTCTTTGATTAACATCTTCTGTATGCCATTTAATCCAATCTTTACGATCATCACTTAATGCACTATTAAAGGCTAACTGTATGGCTAAATCATCTTTAATTGAATCATATTTAAATATAATACGATGACGATCCATATTAGAAAAATATTCTTTTGCTTCTTTAGCTGTAGATGTACCCAAACCTGAGATTGACAATAAATAATTATTTATGTATATATTTTGCATAAAAAATAGAGAATAAAAGAAAAACCTTTGTAGTATTTGCATTTCCATTTTTGCCAATTTCGTGTTGATGCTTGCCATTGTTCAAATTCAGGCATAGAATAAAATGGAATAACATCATTACCTTTGGTAACCTAAACAAAAATATACTTTAAAACATAGAGAAAGAGAATCGTAATTCATACAGAATACTCTAAAAAGGATTTTTATGTATGTATATATGTAAGATATGATTACTGACGGTGTTCAGAAATTCGAAAAATCTTAGTTTAATATTGTGATTCATTTAATAACTAATATCTTCCTACATGGAATGTTGAATTAAACCGAAACAATGTCATTCACTTTGATTGAGACTCTAGTCAAACAATTTTAGTTCCGCTCTGGATGTTGTCGAAGCTTAGAACGGAATGCAAACTTCTATTACATTTATTAAAGCTTTATATTTCTTTCGTACATCGCTAATTAATTAGTCAATACTATTAAGTAAAAGATTTAATTTGAATTATCTAAGCAAAATTTTAATTTCTACAATGGACTACGTATTGAATAGATTGAAGAGACCAATGATGAAGTCCGATTTATTATCATGATTATATGTTATATTATTGCAGAAGTCTTTCTCATTGTGATCAAGATATTCATTCTATAATGAATGAAATATAGCTAGAAATCATTAGAGATTACAAGACATTTGAAAAAAATAATTTCCAATGGTTATCATTCGTTAAAAATACAATAATGTGAGCGAATGTGATTTTCTAAAAAGAATGAACATAAAACATGGAAACTATGTGAAACAAATCGTTGCTTTTTTATATACGAATCAAACTAAATTTATCTACTGCTAGCTGAATAGAAAACTGATCGATGCTCATCGTATTGTGACGGAATGTACAGAGTTGGGCAAGTCAAGTATTTTTCAAGCAGTGTCTTACGGGAACAATTTTTTTCCCGTTCCGTTTGCCGCATGAATCAGAAGCGAAAACAATATTAAAAATGGACGTTCCCGAAAATCATTTTGATTTACTTATGTACTCTCCAAACTTTGCTTTTGCAAACAAAACATGTCAAAATCTATCCAATGTTACACTGTTGAGCAAAAAGATTTCGACATTCATTCAAAGATCTTTGCATTGCTTATTAATTAAACGAAAAATAACAAATACCTATCACCAAAAATTAGATAAGCTCATTTACTATTTATTAGACTGTAATTCTATTATCATAACTATTGTTTTCTTTGTAATTATCACTTTTGAAAGCACTATTATTTAGATTATTTCCCGACATAGATCCTCTCCTCTTGAATGTTTTCGTTTCTTCATCGATGTTGTTGATGTACTAGTATTTTTTTTCTTTTTTCAATTATTCAATTGTTGAAGGAAATAATTCTGTCAACTTAACGTTGATAAATTTAGGCATATAAATAATAATTGATTTATTTTACTCAAATGTACTTCCAACAATAATAGCATTTTTAATTTAAGGTCATATCATGCTGTGTTAAGTGCGACGTTGACAAAACCTAGTATCTGATAATGATAGATTTTCTCAAACACGAACAATGAAATCGTAATAGGAAGTCTGAAAGCGTTAGAGGACCAAGAATAAAAAAAAGTTTTTATGGGAACGGAAATGAGAAACGGGAATCAAGAAAAGTCATTCCGGCAAGACATTACTTTCAAGTCACAAGTCAAGTCAAGTGAGACTTGACTTCACTTGTCTAGCTCTGTATGCATGTCATACTTATCATTTGTAGGACTTAGAAAAAGAAAAGAGAGAAAGAAATACTCAACTTTAGCGAATAGCACTATAATAATCATGATTATTACAGTTTAATTGACTTTAAAAAGTTTATTTCAACTTCAATTATCAACAAAATATTTATGATGCAACTAGCAAATGATCAGCTGTCACAAAAATAAAATATAAAGCTTATCAAAAGACATCACAAAAAATGACTCTACTTAAATCTATACTATCATTTTTTTTTTGAATTAAAAGTTCGAAAACTATACTTTTGACTTTACGGACGAGATAAAAATTTGAAATTACTCAGAAGATCAGAAAACCATTTGTCACGCCAAATCAAGTTTGACTTGACTTCCTCGGCTGTAGATGTAGATCTCGTTGGATCCGGACTTATTGAACGTTTTTGAAATCCGAACTCAGATCCAGTCAAACCATACTTTGATATTTTCAATGAAATTTTTGTAATCGGAAAAGATAGTCGTTCCCAAGGTACGAGATACTTTTTTTCAGACTTTTTCTATTCGGTGACTAGCATATCATACACATTTCGCAGACGACAAGAGTCTATCAAGTTCAAACATTTCAGACCAGAGGGGAACTGGGCTCAAGTCCGAGATCAATTTAACGAGATCTGTGTAGAAGTAAAATTACTTCTCCCCTATAGTATAATTTTGAATTTTTTCCAATCAATAATATCTTACTTTTAGAATGGGCGTAATAAATACTTCAATATAATCATGTTTGAGTAAATTTGGCCATTTATAATGTATAAAATTAATAACAAGTCCTTTAATATGACTACCATCTTGATCTTGATCGGCCATAATCATTAATTTTCCATAACGTAATTTAGATAAATCGCTTTTATTTACATATTTTTCACCATAATTTAAACCAAGAATTTTCACTAATTGTGAAACTTCATTATTTTCTGTCATTTTTTTTGTTGTTGCTTCTCGAACGTTCAACATTTTACCTTTTAATGGATAAACACCATAACGATCACGACCTAATTAAAAGAAAAACTTTTCATTTCGAAAAACGTTGTTTTTTTTTCTTTTGGTCTTCTTACCAATAACACCAAGACCAGCAACAGCAAGTGCTTTAGCTGAGTCTCCTTCGGTTACAATTAATGTACAATATTGCGAATTTTTTGTTCCAGCATCATTTGCATCATCTAATTTAGGTATACCTTTTAATTTCGATGTTTTTGATCCACTTTGTTTTTGTAATTTAGCGTCCTGTCGATGTTCAAGCCAATTAATAACTGATTCAACAATACCAGTTTTTTTAATAACATCTTTTAGAAAGTTTTCATCATCTTTTAATGGACATGTTGAACCAAAATGTTTACGTTCTGTTGCTAATTGCTTTTTTGCTTGTGATTCAAATTCAGGATTTTCAATTAAACAATTAACAAATATAAATAAATGTGATTTAACTTGCATAGGTTTAAGATTTTCTCCAGCTGTTTTACTTTTCTTTTTTATATGTTCGATAAGTTTTGGACAAATTTGTTCAGTTATATAATCAACATGTTTACCACCTTCGGATGTTAAAATTGAATTAACAAAACTAACTTGTGTAAAACCAGTAGTATGATCACTTTTTGCAACACCAACTTCCCAACGATCACTCACTTTTTTATAAACAATTTCTTTTTCTGATGTTTCAATATACATTAACATATAATCTTTCATATTTTTCACCTATATATAAAGATACCAAAAAAAAATGTTTACCAATTGAAAAAAAAAAAAAACATGTCATACTGGAATACGTTTGCCATTAAGTGTTACTTTACAACCAGTTGATATAGCTACATCATAGGCACGACGCTTAAATAATGCAACAAGATCATCATCAAATTTGTCCAGTTGAAATCGTTTTAAATCTGGTATAAATGTAATACGAGTAAATTCTTTTGGATTATCACTTGTTTTAGTTATAATTGCATCTTGTGGATCACGCATATTATTTGTCCAAGTCTAAATTAATTTTTTATTCTTTTAATAAATTTATTGGTCAAGATGAAAAACATACTTGTTTAAATGATCTTTTATATTCTTTTGAACATGTTTCAACAGTAAATTTTGTACTAAATATATTTGTTACTTTGGCACCGTAACCATTTCGACCACCTATGATAAAACATAAAATTTCAAAGAATTTTTTCAATGAGTTTAAACTATACCTGTAATTCGTTTATTATTATCATTAAAGTTATCTGATGTAAGAAGTTTGCCAAAAATTAATGTTGGAATGTAAATAGATTCATCTTGAGCCCATTTACGGACAGGAATACCTCGACCATCATTGCAAATTTTTATTTCACCTTTTTCTCTAAATAATTTAATACGTTATCAAGAATTTGAATTTTTGTTTTTTTTTTGAAGGAAACCTTACTGATTAATATCTACTTCGATGGATGTCATTGTTGAATCACGTTGTTTATTGTCAGCAGCATTAACTAAATGGAAAAGAAAGAGTGTATATACATTCGTTTCGAATAAACTAGTTTGTTTGTACCGAGAATTTCATCGAAAATTTTGTAGAGGCCTGGCACATAGGTAATTTCTTTTTTGATAATTTTTGGACCTTCTTCATTTTTTTCATCAAGAATCCACATTTCCTATGAGTATAAGATTGTAAAACAAATATATAGAAATAATAATATTACTTCGTGACATGGTTTATTTGAACCAATATATGTTTCAGGTCGTTTAAGAATATGATCAAGTTGTTCGAGAAGTTGATATGTTTCTTCATCTTTATTTGGTGCATCGCTAATCGATTTATTCATTGAAGACGCCATAAGGAAACAACGTCTTCAGTAAAAATAGCGTTTATAAGCAACGATTATGATATATAACTGTATGTTCTTGCACCAAATCTAAAAATGAACTATAGCTTGATGTGAAACAACTTTTGTCTATTTCTTTTCTTTGTTTAAATAACCATGTGACACTTTGTTCGCATATATATAGTTTATTCTCTGTTTGAATAAGTCTTTGTATTCAACTTCGATTTCTATCTGTTATAGGCTTTATATTGAAAACATCAGTCAATTCAAACTGAGTACTATAATTATTCTTATAAAGTGTACAAATATTTATCACGTATTATTTTCAAATGATTTACAATGACATTTAACTTTTTTTCAATATGCCAAAAAGTTGGTTTCATTTTATTTCGATAGATGCCCCTGTCTTTCATTGAACAGAAGGCTGGTCTGACCAGCGAGAGAGAACGGGAGACGGAGTGTTTGATATGTGGCAACCTCCGAATCGTGAAAACATTTTTTTTTCAACAAAACAAAAACTTTTTTGACGTTCTCTCAGAAAAAAATGTTTACATCCTTCTAAAAATAGTCATGACTAAAACCCATCAGGTTCATAATTATCAGACTTGGACTCGGTCGAACCATACTTTGATACTCTCAATAAAAGTTTCTAATCGATATTAGTGTTATGATCGAAGTGTTCCCCTTCGGTTATAAGACGGAGCAAAACGAATAATAAACACTCTTTTCTAGTACAGTGATAGTACAGCTGCCCGGAAAGAAGAAGACGAAGGTTCGATTCCTTGAGAAGGGAGATTATTCTTTTGTTCTGTTCTGTTGTCATACCATCACGTTGTTGTCTCGCACGTAACAATTAGATAATTGCTCTAAAGTGACGAGACATTTTTCCAACTTGTTGTATTCGATGACTAATGCTCTGTATATATTTCTCAGACGTCTAGAGCTCATCGGTTCAAATTTTGAACCTGGGCTCGAATAACAGAAACATGATCAGATTCTATTGGATTGTTTACTCTCTTTAGCTCAAGTGAATAATATGGTCTATGCTAAGTACCATTGTAATCAGAAGGCAAAAAGACTAATCTTAAAGGGTTTAAGGCTCTATATTTTTTTTACAGCAATACCGATGGCCTGAAGATGAACTTTTTGATTTTTCTCTTTACATCTAATAATACTTGGAGAACTTGCGCACACACCCTGTGGAGACAAAATTTGTTCCTTCTGTTGATGACAAAATTAAATATTGATGCAAATATGATATCGCAACTGACATAGGCTTAACTAACTTGTTGTTCATATTCATGATATAGATAAAATTTGCTTGATCTTTCATATGAAATGATAGCCAGTTCATTTGTTGTACAAATGTTGTACTACACTGATGTTGTGTCTTTTGTTCCCTTTCTTACGCGCGTATATGAGATTGTTGACGATTACAAGTAGTAGTGTGAGCGGAAGATGATATAGACCATTTTCAGTAACAATAAACTTCCTTTTTTTAACGATAGAATCAGATAAATTTCTAGCTTATTTTACTATAATTTTATCTTTTTACTTCCATTACTACCTGGATTATGTACCAGGTATCTATGTGTGACGGAACGACACAGAAAAAAATAGTCCCATTGTACAGGATATTTCTAAAAATTTCGTATCCGGTTGCGTCTCATGAGACATCATATTCGTCAAATGATTTTCAAAAAAAGTAAAATGAAGTATTAGTGATATATTTATTCGTTCGATTAATTATACAAAATATCATGCTACTAAGGACAATCCAAAAGAAGTGGCGTAAGTAGTTTATTTCGGTAGAGAAAACTTGAAGAAGCTTTTTTAAAATATAGTGATAATAAAAAAGATGCTCCATTTTTCCATGACACTTGATCGTTCTTCAACTAATATCACAATAGTGAAATTTCGACAAGAACTGTTTGTTATGATATGTGACGATAATATTCTATAATATTGTCTCTAATTCTATTTTCATTTTATTCTTCTCTTTGTGGATATGATGGTTGGTATTCTCTTCTCACACTCACATCCACTCCTGAATTATATGGATCAGATTGATATTCAATAACAGACGATGATGAATTTTCAAAAGACATTTTATCAGTTATGACTAAAATTTGAATTAATTCACTGATTTTAACTATTACAATAGATGGAATTGTGTATTTTGTTTATTTATATATTTATTCATTCATTCATTATTATCCATTTTACGGTGCTCTAGCGGCTACAACGCATAATCATTTACAGAATAGAACAAAATTATATTTTCATTAACTCTGCTGGAGTAGACAAGAATGTTACCTATATGAAAAACAAATAGTAATATGTTTTCTGCATAAAAAATGCTTGTATAAGGGGCTGTTTGTTTTATAGGATGCGACGGAAGTATCTTATCCCTCACGAAACCTTGTTATGTATCACTTCAAAGAGCAGCTATTTTGAAACAGGCATGAACGCCTGTAAAACTTTTCATTAAAACACATACAAAAACAAGCCAGATACGTTTAGTGAACAAAATATCAATCACCCGCAATTTTTGATCAAGTTATCAACTAAAACTTATAACATATTTTTTATCAATTATGATACATAAATGCTGATCTTATTTTAAAATAAAAAACTTTATTCATTAGTAAATTATATGAACCATATTGTGGTGTACAAAAGTAAATATTACCGTATAATAGCCCAATCTCTTGAACTTTCCAGAAATCTTCGTGTTTTACATAATGTTGATTCAATTTTCTTATGTTCGGATACTGAGCATTCGATATATATTTTTTTCTTAAATTTTTACTATTTTCCCTAAAAATACGCATATTTTGATTTTATACTCAACACTTTCCTGAAAAAGAAAAGTGAAATGAAAAAAGAAATTATTCGCTAAAAAGCATTGTATTTCTGAAAATTGAATTTCAGCAATAATTATAACGACATCGATTACAATGTTGTCATTATCATACACATTCTTATTTTCAAAGATCATCATGGCATGGCCTTAGTCGATATGTTTCTCATGGCGTGTGAAAAAATATATAGAAGCAAAAAAATGAATGCCAATCAATGAAAATTTTAAAAGACTTTCATTGCCGACTCCAGTATTTATTAGGTATTATCAAGGTGAAATTTTTCATCATTCATTTTCTGAAAAAAAGTTTCACATTGATTTTTCTTTTTTTTCTGACAATTTATTGAAATATATATATATTGCAGAAAAAAAAACATTGAATAAGTAATGAATTAATAACATGGAAACATAAGCTAAGTTATGCAAAAATTTAGCTGAAAAGTACATCTATAATAAGCATATCCAAGGTGACATTAGAGAACGATAATTTTTGATAAAAAGTAAGGAAAAAGGTAAAAGAAATGATGAGATAGGAAAAGCGAGGAAATAATTCATTATGACGCTAAAAGCTTCATTATATATATAATATATACATTCCTATTTTTTAGTAAAATAATACCAATGGAAATATATCATAATCGAAAGTCTGAGCTTTTTTAAATATGCACTCTGAAAATCTGGTATTTTAATAAACAGCATAATCTATAATTAAAGAAAAATCATGATAGTTATTTTTGACTATATTAACGTAGACATTACGTGTAAAACTAGGCGTGCATGATAGGTGAATAGAAAAAATAGCTTCTGTAATCTAAAGAGCTATTCAAGTGAGCGATGTATCTCTCTGTTTCCTTCTTTCTTTTTCTTTATATCTCTACCTAGAGAAAAGAATCACCTATGTATTTCTTTTTTTTCTTTCTTGCTGACATATATGCGTTCATTAGTTTGTTAGCCTATGCTGTAGTTTATATGAACATTAAAACTGCCTTCTTCTTATTTCATAAAGTTAACTAACAAATCATCACTATTATCAATCATAAGCATATATATAGAGACATTGACTAGGAACGTATAAGTAAGTTGACTTGATTATGAAAACAAAAAGTCCTGACACTCCTACTAACGTAACTGTCTCGCTCAAAAAAAAACACAAGCTAATCAAGAAAGTTATGATCACACATTTTCACTGTGTTATAGTCTTCTAGTATTTTTTTTCACTGCTTTTTAACCGTGTATATATATTCACACAAAGTTTTGTTTCTATGTTTGTGTCTATTTTTTACCAACATCACAGCATAGAGAATAATGCACGTAACACAGTTGTTGCTATTTACATTATTTTTCTTATTTTTTCCCAAGGTACTGTCGTCTTTCCAATTAATCTAACTTTCAGTATTTTATATTATTAGCAATTTAAATGAGTTGACACTTATTTTCTCTCTGTTAATCATCTACTATGAGTCATTCTATTTTTCATTGATCATCACAATACTTACTCATAAAGTGTCATTGAAAAAGAATGGTAAACTTTTATATATTGAAGAATCAGTTGCGTATATAATAATATTCACTTTATATGAATGAAATCTTCCTACAATTTTTTAGTCTTTCTTTTCCATATGATTTGTATCTCGCCATCTTAGTTTTTCATAGTAAATGACGATAAACTGTCTCATATTTATTATTCTATACTGTGACTTTATTTCTTTTTTTCAAGATAGTTATGATTTCATAAATAACGAGTACTTAAACAGACGAGAAATAAAAAAAACCATTATGCAATCGTCACAAACTAGTCATGATTTATATCAAGAAGACAATGAATGTAACATGCATAAACCAGTCAAACATGTTCGAAGTCATGATATTGATGATCAAAAGAATCAACGGCAACAAAAGCAACGGCAATATTCACCGTTTGGAAGCCATAATGTAATGTCATCTAGTTTTAGACATTCTATACGCAATCTGACTTCCTGCACTTTAATAAGGTAAATGAAAATAGGATAATAGTTTTTCGTTATATTTTCTAATGTCATAATGAAACGTAAAATTTCTTCAGCTATTTTAAACACAATGATCAATAAATCAATGTGTTACTCAGTTGAGATTGTCACAGATATACGACATCTGTTTTTTTTTCTTTTGAAAACCATTCTGTTTTTCTCAAAGGACATGTGTAAGTGTGTGCTTTTTTTTCTGCCGTGCTCGTTCATATTATGAGTATTATGCTCGACAACCGATTCGCTTGTTTCAGACGTTTTATTTCCTGTTTTTTTGCCTAAGTAGAAAGAAGATAGTAAGCATGGTTTCCATCGTGTAGTTTTTTTCCTTCTTCTTCTATCAACTACTACTACTACTGTTTCTACTCGTAAATGAATATAATGTCGCCGTGAACAACATGGCAACATAAGAAATATGTTGATGTCATTTGACTCGATTGTCTAGCTCTCGTTCTTTTTCTTACACTTTTGCATTTTAAATATCGAACTAAGTAATAAAAACAAAGAAAAAACAATACGCAAGAAAACATAAAAATACACAGCACGTGCTCTACAACTACCAAGATGAAGTAGGAGAGTTAGAGCATTTAAAATAAAAATCGGCGGCACATTCATGTTGAAATAGAAGGAAAAAAACAATTTTTTTCAAGTATATGAAAGAAAATATTATAATTGTGTTTATCAAAATTATGAAATCAAGTTGCGTTACAAATTGATTATCCAGGCAAAAAAACTAACTGACATGCTTTTTAAATCTGACTATAAGTTATTTGATACAAATGTGTGTTACGGGTACATGTCAAAAATATACGTTGGCTTTTTTAATGCCTGATAAAAAATATAGAAAATATTAGAATTTATAGTTTAATTTTTTCCTTGTCGTCTTTGTTCTCAACAGATGATAATAACATTCGTACAGTACAGATGTGATGAGATCACTTTGAATGACGGCTGACAAAAAAAAAACAGAATTTTAATCGGAACCAAAACAGTAGAAGAAAGCATAATCTCACTTGTATTGATTTTATTTCATCATACTTTATTCTCAATTCCTTTTTTTTTTTTTATCTCGTACAAAAAAATAAAAGAGAACGTTGCCGATCAACTATTTTTTTACGGAAGAAAGAGTGAATGCGATTGGCATTGGCATTTATATACGTATATAACATCATATTTATGCCATAGCCTCGTTCGACATCAATAATTTGAATCGTCAGGTATTACAACAATAACACGTCGTCGTACAGAGAAAAAAAAACAGGAAGACGAACATTTAAAAAATGATTATGTTTTTATAAGTGAGAAAAAAAGAAAATGTGAATATGCAGCAACATCAACATTGACTTTTCTAGTTTGACAAAATATACGATAATAATAATGTTAAATTCACTTCGTCGAAGGTATGTCTTTTTGCGATTTTCCATTTTAATAAAAGTATTTAATTTTCTCTTTATCAATTAATCAAAAAATCTTATTCCATAGATTATCAAACTATATATGTTGATTAAATTTTGATATAGCTTTGAAAATAAATGTTATTATTTCTGTATGATAAAGAGTTCATATATGTCTGTATAGATCAATATCTATTACTCAAAATCTTTTCGCCAATATAATGTCGAAAACACAGCGTGAATAAAATAATTTATTCATTTTTAGTTTTATTACCAATCATATATTGACACATGTGTATAGAAGAATAGGAGTGTCTGCAGTAATTTTAGACAAACATCACTCAAAGACGAGAGACAAGGCGTAATCATAATATTGACCAAACTTGAGTATATGTAGGTGTATTTGGTTTTTACTTTGTATTTATCTATCAACGAAATCATCTATAGGAAATGGATTTTTTTTCCGACTTTTATCATCAGACATGTGTATAGATATACATATACAAAGAAATGAGAAAGTAGATACGATGATGATCATTATGGGAAACATACAATGGAATATGTTTGATAGACTATTAAGTATATAAATATTTATCGTTAACTGTCTGTATCGCGATCTTTGAAGTGCACTTGTAGGAGTTAATAAAATTGATTACACATACATATCCAATAATAAAGTTCAAAACAAATAAATCATTACAAAATTCATGCGAGATTAAATTACAATGTTTGTTTTGTAGCATAAAAAAATTCTGAATTTAAACTTAATTTACTTAAATAAATAAGATCATCCTTTATAGAAAAATTATCTACAAGTTTAATCATTTCAAAGTTTGCTGTACTGCTAGAAAAAAAGAATACGTTTCTATTTTGTATAATTTTTTTTCTCATAAAATTAGACATGTAAAGCCATCACATTTTTTTTTATATTACTGGCATATTTCTATTGAAGGCTGCATGTGATGAATTTCTCATAAAATCGTCATCAGGTTTTTCTTTTCTCATTAATGATTGTGATTTTTTGTTTTTATTCAATTCAGACGAAAATCCAGTCGCACACCGGATAATGGTAGTCACAATCCATCAAAGACTGAAGCATCTGCTGTATTCGAAGGTGATCATCAACAATCACAAAAAGCCCTTCTAATACCAACAAGATCTTTTTCATCATCACCATCAAGTAATAAATATAAAAGTGGTATTGAATCGTCAATATCATCGACCGGTGACAATACTCCATCTCGTGTTAAAACACGTAAATCACCCGATGAAAAGAAAAGTGTTGAAATATCATCAGTAACATCAAATACATCACCATTCAATTCTTCATCACAAATAAAATCAACTGCAAAAGACGATATATTATTGCCTAATTCAAGTATATTATCTGGTAAAGAGGTGAGAAGAAACATATTTATCTTGTATTTGTTCATTCATTTAAATTCGATTTGAAAATAATCGAGACAAATTAATCTTGTCGTTCACTCTGAATATTGTCTGATTGACTAAAGTATTATTTGAATAGTTTTATGATCGGTTCATTTGACTCGACGTATTAGATCAAGCATATCAACATTACTCTTTTTTCTTCTCCTCTCGTACTTCTAAACATATATCCATGTGTATAGAGCTTATTACTTTCTAATCTCATTTGCATGTCAAATTGAATCCATTTAAGAAAGTAAAAAGATAAGTTTTATTGTCTCTCAACTATATAGTAGTTAAATCAATGTAGTCTATTATTGATAGATTATCTTTAATTATCTTTAAGCTTGACGTTTTTTTTGTAAAAAGAACAATGAATTCATGCTTATAAATCTTCTTCCTATTTTTTGTTTAGATTAGTACAAGTCTAGTTAATCTGATGGGTACAGCATTCGATTCAGTCCCTATCAATAATACAACACAAATGGCAACTCATGAAGCTAGAGTAAGTATTTTGAATTAAACTTTTTCTTTTTTATCATTGATCAGTATTAATGAGATGAAACAAGCAGAACAATGAACATTTTTCATTTTCTACAGCCACGTAAAAATAGTGTCCTCGGTCTCCTTCAGGTATGCATATAGGGGATATATAATATATATATGTGATATCCATGCTTGCATTTGAATTCTTTCTTATGCTGAATTAATATAGATTACATTATGAAACTATTTTATGCGTACAAAATGCTTTGCATTTCTGAAATTTTTGCTTTGTTTTTTAATGCCAATATACTAATCATAGTTAGTACGATATTCTCAATCAATGACCTTGTCTATTGCCTAGTATGTCTGTTTTTTGTTGTCGTTGATGTCACGTCATCGAAAAACAGAAGAAAAGAATCGCTGATGATGAACAAAGGCATCCGAGAAAGAAAATAGATATATTTTACTATCAGATGAAAAGAAAAAAAAAACGAGAAAGACGAGCGCGTAGTTTTTCATCATCGGACAAGCAACGCACGTCTCCAGAACTGATCGCACCGCCTTGTATTCTACAGCCAAAAACTAGAGAGAGAAAAAGAATTTTCTTTCGCTTTTGTCTCTTGACTGTCATTGATGGTTGTTTGTTATTGTGCCGACTAGTAAAGATAATAATAACAACAGCAAATGCATTCCATAAGAATCGATCTTCGTCCTCTTTCTTTTGCTTTGTTTGACATTGAATATTATGACGGAAATTGATCGATATATGTTGACGATAACTAGCAATAACTGCTGATATTGATCTAACCATGAATTCAGATGATAAGTTATCCTCAATGCCACCCTTATTAACTCATCGAATAATTAATCTATCACCACTATTTTCTATACAAAATCAGCATTATATCGTATGTGTTTTACAAATACTAATACATTTCTTTTTCTTTCTGAGACAAATTTTATTGAAACTTTTTTTTTTACAGCATATATCCTCTACTCCTGCTGCTCCAATTGAACGAATAGTACGTAAGAAATGCATAAAGAAAGAAATTTGATTCAATATTAATTTATTCAGGGATTTTTTGGATCATCATCTAATGTGGGTTCATCTGGTATGACTGAATCCCCATCATCACAACGAACAATTTGTACCGGAAATAATCATTTTGGTAATTCTACATCAAGTGCATATACCAAATCACCGAATCAATATACATGGTGTTATGAAAGTTCTGCATCTATTTCAACAAATAGTGGAACTAGCTTTGATGAATGTTTACCTCATCTTGAAACTGATGATAAACCATTAATATATCGTGAACAATTTGAACCAACTGTAAAGAAAATATTTCTTTTTTATGTTTTTGAACAAGTATTTATTTTTCCTTTTTTTTCTCTAGGAACATTTTAATTGGTATGGTACTAGTGATATTCATGGACCTGTTATTATTTCATATAAATATTCAAATGATCATGATAAACAACGATACGTTATGGCCATTGTTCGGTTAGGGATTATAAGAATCAATCTTGTAATTAAGAATTATTATGTTTTTTTTTTATACAGAACTCGACATCGAACATCGATTGAGTCATTATTGGATATACCGTCATCACTTTCTTCTATAGACATTTTACGGCGAATATGTGATCAATGTGCCATCACTGATATTGAATATTTCGATCCGATACTTTGTAATGGGGTAAAATTTAAGAAAATAAATAAGTAAATAAATTTTTCTATTTCTCAAATTTTAGGCTCATGATTTGCTGATAAAATATGATGAATCATATGTATCTAATACACATAAGTTTGGTATTATATATCAACGTGAAAATCAACTTGCTGAAGAAGATATATTCAGTAATGAAGTGCATAGTATTGTTATGGATAAATTTCTTGATTTTATTGGTAATCGAGTTAAACTAAAAGATTTTCAAGGGTAAAAAGGTTCAAAAAATAAATTTATCGCATTTAAACAAGAAATATTTCTTTAGATTTCGTGGTGGTCTAGATGTTAAATCTGATCATACAGGAACTGAATCCATTTATGAACAATTTAATAATCATGAAATAATGTTTCATGTTAGTACATTATTACCATATTCAAAAATAGAACGACAACAACTTGAACGTAAACGTCATATTGGCAATGACATTGTTGCTATAGTCTTTCAAGAAAATGAAACAATATTTAATCCAGAATGTATTGCTTCGCAATTTTTACATGTTTATCTTGTTGTAACACCATTAGATAATGATGGTGCACGTTTTAAAGTATCTGTTATTCATCGTGATAGTGTACCATTATTTGGACCATTTATCAATCATTCAAATTCATTTCATTGTGATCATATATTTAAACAATGGTTATTAACAAAATTAATTAATGCTGAAATGGCTTCATGTAAAGCAAATACTTTTCAAAAATATCAAGTACGAAAAAATTTTTCGTTTTGTTTTTTTTTGTTATTTTTTAAGATCTTTATATTGTTTGTAATGAAATAGGAACGTACAAAAATGAATTTATTTGAAAATTTATATCGTACAGTACATGATAATAATCGTCCATTTATGAGCTTCATTTTTAATCATAGTCAATATAAGCATGAATGTGATATTGAACAACAAAAAGAAGATGCACAAATATATTCTTCAACAAAAACATATGATCGACATGCAGATAATTCATTACTTGGTTCAGTAAGACGTCGCTTTATTGCACCAAAATTACGTACACAACATTCACTTACACCACCACCAACAACAATTATTGTTTCAACACCATCATCAAATAATATAAATGATTCAAAATCAAAAACGAGTTCAGTCACAACGGAATTAAAACAAAGTGCATCGAAAGAATCAATAACAAATAATAGTAATAATGGGAAAATGTCTTCAATCTTCTTTTTACCAAAGGTAAATTCCTCAGTATCATATATATATATATAATGGTATTTGCCGTTTACCTTGTTTTGTTTCTTATCAGAATGATTGATCAGCTATAGTGATTGACACAAGTCCTTGCTTTTGTGATTGCCACCGAAGGGAAATAATCTTTCTGTGAGCACCTTTTGAAAATAAGACTATAGAATAAATATGATTGACTAAATGCAAATTTTTCTCTATTGGATGAAAACATAGTGAAAAACAGTTACTTTCATACAAATCTTAAAGCAAATTAATCTCACAAAAATTTATGACGATAATATTTCGCTATTCGATCCAAATTGGATTTATTCATGATTTTGTTATTCGTATGATACATCTGTATACTTTTGATCAGATTTTGATTTAGCCACTAATAGAACTAGAAGAAAGCATAGACTCAATTGGTTAATTTCCTTTGATCGTCTGACAGATAAGTTCTTCGAGTGGTTGGATTCTTTACAAAAATCATGTAAGTTTTTTAAAACTGGCACTCGTGATAAACAGCTTAGTTTCGTGCATGTTACTTATCAGAGGTTCAACAAACGTAATCGAGCTACTTACCTGTCTAGGATTTTTTTTGTAAGTTTTAAATAAAAACTTTGTTTTTTTGAACAGGAAATTTAGATATCAAAATTTGCAGAGGAGTATTTTTGCCACTGGAATGTAGCAAATATTCTTCTTTTTCAGTCATTTTTGACTAGACACAATGGTAACTAATAAAAAATTGTGAGCATATTGTGCATTATCCATTGATTTATGTAGTTTATTTAATCGTTTTGCTAAGTTACTGTTCACACTTTCTCCAATAAGTTATTATTATTATTTTCAATGAATTGTCGACTAATTCTTATTGTTTCTGGATTCATGTTCCTATGGCCGTTATATGTCTAGAATTGTTAAGTGTTCTTTAACTAGTTCATCAAATTCATTCAAAATGTCACTTATTTGTTTTTTTTATTAGCTATCATGGCTGAGTGGCTATGTTGCTCCATACGTATCCACATACTACTGTGTATAAACCTCAGTATCACCAGCCATGAAATGATGCTGCACAAGTCACTAACGCTATGTGTCTCAGATCGAACGTCCGATAATATGCTGACTACATTGTAGCATATCCCTGATCTTGTGACTAGTTAGTGTGTGGAAAGTTCACGTAATTGAGCGCAAGAACCGGCGTCAGGCTGGCCTTGTGTCCGGAGCTACGAGTAGCCATAGTCGTAGAGAAGATATCAGACTATCAAATCTGCTGCTATTCAGTACTCTATACCGCAAGATTTATGTGGAAATGTTAGGGTTTTCTCCCTTATTGTTTATTATCTATAGATATTCATTGTACTAAATAAATAAATGTTCCGTATAGACATGATATTTTCGTATACATGGCACTGCTACCTGCTTAAAAGAAAGCATCCTTCTAGTTCATTTTGTTCATATATTAAAAAACCATGCAAGTGGTCAAACACAAGCAAGGTTGACGCAAGAAAAGCCTGTTTCGAACTCGTTTACCTATTATCACTCCCATTCGATTGTATATAAAAGATCATCATAACTAGAACTCTACGAGACTAATCTATATTCCTATAAGTTACAGTGAATCATAGCATGTTATATCACTTGGTGGTTAAACATTACTACCGATCAAGCGCAAGTTTTTCTCTACGTTCTTTCGTCATCAAATTAAATTTGTCTAATTAAAAAGCATAGAATTATATCCTAATAAAAATCAATATTCTCTAATGAAATTCTTCATTATCGAAAATCTCTATCAAGATGAAAATAAATTCTTATCTTTTATTAATAGAATCAGATTCCTCAAATGGAAAAATTAAATACTACTCGTGCATTCTTAGAAGCTGAAAACGCTGATTTATCATTAAGGTAATATTTTCGCATGCATATTTCTTGTGTTTCAATTTGAGTATATTACTTAAGTTCTCGTTCAAATTCAAAATTTTTATCGCCAGCAACATGTCCATCTACACCATCTAATCATTTTGATAACAAAATAGACTCATATTCACTTGCACCATCATTCAGTTTTAATAAACCATCAATAGATGACATAGATCATAATCAATTATCACTTGATGATCTACAATCTTCATCAAAAGATGGTAAAAATAAAAATGAAATATTCTTTTGAAAATATTGTTTTATTTTTAATTTTAATTTTAGATTTAATTAAATTTATTGGTGTATTACAACAACAACATTCAACAAAATTAGTTCAAATGGATGAAAACTATTCAAAAGCTTTGAAACAACTTGAAATACAATTAGTACAACAACGAAATGTTGTTAATGGAGAGAGTTCATAAAACTAATAAATGCTTTATTTTTAACGTTTATTCCGTCCTTAATTTCGTTGTTGTTCTCAAAAATTGTTAATATCAACTAAATCTATTATATATCTCATGTTTCATATCTCCAAATTGAAGTCTCACTTTTTCTTCTCTCTACATATACACGTATATATATTTATGTTTAAATCGCGAAGCTTTGTATAAAATTGCTCTCTTTTCTTTCTCTTTTGCGTATAATATCTGTTATAATAAATATACAGTTGATCTTTGTATTAGTATATTTTCTTTACTAATATTTTACTTGCTTGAATGACTTATTTAAATAGAGAAATACCTTTGAATCTATTGAATAAGTGTAGAATAAATTTTAAATAAGCCAAGAAAATTCGAATGGATTACTGTTCTTTGATTTAATCAAAACCTTACTAATCAAGAAAAAACACGCAAAACATAATCAAGATTTGTTTCACCAAACGTTAGTTTTTAATGAAATCATTTTAAAAATCTTGAATAAAATTTATATAGAATGACTATTAGCAAAGCTACTAAATATGATTGAAACCAAGTTTTTACAAATAATTTTTTTTATTGAATAAATTTTTACTGAAAAGGGAAAGAACAAGAAGATTGAGCCCAAAACTGTAAACATGAAACTGACCTGTACTATATCTGAGAGATTCGTAATCTTACTTAACCTAGCCATCAAGATGTAATTGAATGCTAAAATAACAGTCTGAAAAGTTATCGTTCGATCAACTGCAACATGAAGAAGAAATAGCAGAAACTTTACTCTTGAAGTCTTATAAGATCTCCTGAAATCTGTCAAAGTCCCGTGAAATCTTAAGAAGTTTTTGAATTATAGTTTTTAATATATGTTGACGTCTCATGAATTGTGCTGTTTCTTCCTCGCTTTAACATAAGCGAAAGAAAAGAATTTATGAAATCGAATTCTTAATAATAGAAAACGTTTTTCATATTCTATCGAACTGAGATCCAACGAATTTTATAGCTATTAATCTAATGAAAAGTCATTTTTACTATATATGACCACAAAAGAAGACAGAAAAGGCAAGCAGTATTTAACTTTACTCTCTTTCTTGTTGTCTTCATCTCAATTGCTTAAAATATTACATTGTAAAGCATTCGACTTTTTGTTGTCTATTAATAACACCTGTTTAAACTGTTTTCATTTACATAAAAATTTCCATGAAGAACTTTATTTCAAATGAAAAACAATCTGTTTTTAACCCAGTTTATTTGCATAAATGACTGAACACTAGGAAAATGTGTTTGTTTTCAATATCATACAAATATTATTATGGATATGATCATAAACATAAACATAGCAAAGAAAAGAAAACTAAATTCTGAACATTGTGATAGAAGAATCTTATTGAGAGTTGCTCCAAAATATTGCCAATATTCAAATAAAAGTTTTGTAGAAATAAATGTCTGTCAATGAATATCTGTAAACAATCATTATCTATTGATAGATACGTGCAAATTATAGTTAAATATATTATTTTCATGATGCTTTCAACTTTTTGAAAATTTACGATTTTTTTTATTCATATGAAGTTATTCAATTGAAATATTTGGTGTTTGCACATTTATACAAGACGACAAAGGTACTTCCTGTATTTTGTTAATTGAAGACAAAAATGCTTGCTGATATTTGCCATTGATGATGATAATGAGAATGATGAACTTAGCACCGATTAGGTCGATATTAACTGTACTCTGATCTATGTTGAACTCATTAACAATATTATCCATACATGACATTTAAATACAGCCAAGAGAAATTGCGAAAATAGTAGTAACTTTAAAAAAAAAGGAAGAATATTTACAAAACAATTCGAAATTAATCCTTGTTGATAAGAACGAAACGAAAACGTGTTTAGATTAGTCTATTAATGAGAAATGAATTTAATTTTTCGTCGTTTGAAAAACTAAACTCTTCCAGTGAAGTTGATTTCATCGATCAATTTTTAATTATATACACTGCGAACTATGAAACAATGGGATATCATTTCGTACTATTTTAGAAAACTGTCTCACAATAAAACTTATTTTTCAATTTATTCGTACTATTAGGCCTACGCAGCATGTTTTTTTTTTCTTTATAACATGGCAAAATAAATTTTTATCAGCTCGGTATTCTGACAAACAGCGTGGTCTCAAAGATAAAATTTTGCATATATGAGAATGTTATCAGAAAATTTCAAACGTGTCATTGAATCAATCGTATTATTTTATTTAAATTCGACTTTATAGAAAACTACTCTATTTTATAACTGAACCAATCGAACCTCACTAAAAGTTTAGGTGTCTCCTTCAGTCTCTAAACTTTGGTCTTTTGCATTAAAAAAAAGTTCAAACTATTCGAAAAGTTCTTTATAAAGCAAAAGGATATGATATTTTTTCTGTTCTTTTCTGTAGAAAGACTTATCTTTATTACATATATTTTCTATGAAGATATTCACAAGACATAGTAGGTCATAACATTGTGGTATATTTTTTGTATCGAGGATTATTTTGTGGTAACTTTATTTTTTCTTACTTGATGCAATAGAAACTTTGACATTTCTTTTACAGGAGACCAAGTCGTAATTTGACTAAGTTCTCAAAATATTTTAGAAGAAAGGTTTCATATAAGTGTAGACGGACAAGATAAAGTTTTATTTACAATAACTTTATGGATAGATACATAATAATGATTCAAGGTAATAGAATAACATCAGAAACTTATTTTTTTGCAAAATTATGTTTGTACATAATTATTATCAGTGATGTAAAATTTTTCGAACATCTTTTCGTAGATTTTCTAATGAAAAAAGGAATGGAAGACGTTTTTTCGTGGAGATATCGCAAAATAATATTGTCGATAAAATGCAACACAATTCTCAGTTTAGTTTTTCGATTAGAATGTTTCCTCGGCACAACCTGAATATTTATGTTCTAGCAGAAAAAATTAATTTTCTAAGTTCATTTTTCGTTGATAAATTTCATTCAATCTGAATTCGAACTGATTCAGTAATGAATCTCATTTATTCATGAGTATAAAATAAAATAGAGACATATACAAGAATAGATCTGTTTATGATGAAAAATTAGTTTCACATGAATGCTCTGTATAATGCAAGGAAAAAAAATATATCGATCGACTACAGTACTTTATTCAGATTTCCTGCTTCGTAAGAGCAAATTAAAACTTTGAGAGGACCGATCCGATCTTCTGAGCTAGAAAATCAACAGGTAACTTGTTTCATTTCGAGTATTCCTTTTCATATATCTAATCTTATTTAATTGTTATTAATTTTATTAAGATTTACGTCCGAAAGTTTTTAGATACACACGTGAAAACATTACGATTAATATTTCAACACAGTAATAAATCGACGCATATTTGACTGTCTTCTTTTTTTTTATATTTCATTGTTCTATTAAGTCATCTGACTAAAGGCTCAAAAAGTTTCAATAAGGAATGTTTATCTGTTATGGCAAATCGTGTTGTGTTAAAAATAAATTTGTCATGTTTGAATATTCGAAACTCTTGAAAAGTTTTAGAAGAAGTAAAAGAGTAGTATTTTTACTTTATGAGTTCTTTTGAGAACATTTTCCTGTGATAAAACGTGTTATCTTCCTTCGCTTTTTATCTATCTATCAGATATCTATCATCATGTCTTCTTCTATTTGTTGTCGATTAGCTAGTATATAGGATTGAATTATCTTCCTACTTTTGCAACTTAATTGTTAAACATGCTCAAGTCCATGGTTTCAACGTTCGATTCCATGGATTCTCAATTGAAAAACTGCGGAAGATGTTAGAAACTTGAAAATATGAATGCGATGATCATGTGTGATAGTCAGCTCTCGTCGCTGATGACCATTTCAGGTCGAAACAAAGAACAGTCAGCCACTGGGTTCAGACATCGTTTTTCTGTCCGACACTGTACAGGAGCTCCAAGATTGGAAAATTGTATAAGAAAACGTCTCACAGTCGCAATAAAAATTCAAAAAGCTTTTTAGCTTTATTGGACAATAGCAGATCATTTTCAATTATTGAGAGGATTTACACTCCTCGCAGTTGCGCTTCTTGATTCCAGTTACCAAGTTCTATCATTTTCCAGAGTTTCCTCACCAGAATAGACTGTAAATCATTTATCTGACTATGCACAATTCTCTTTAAAAACCACCTTTTTCATTATTAGTACTGTTTCCATCATCATCAACGACTTATTGATAAATATATCTCGCTCTTTAATATCGAAAACATACCAAAAATTTACTTAAGCAAACAAATTATAGAAGTCTTAAAAGTTTTTCAAGTTCTGAATACAAAATCTTTAACTAAAACAAATGAATACTGTTATTATAGAAATTAATAAGACCATATACGTACATGATTTCGATGTAATTTTTTGTACCAAAACAAAATTAATATCTGTAACAAATTCTTATAACTTGCTTTGCGTAAAAAAACTACCACATTTTAGGCTTTGCTTAATGATTCATTATTATCTTGTCTACTCAACGTCCATTCTAATAATATATTTAGTTTTTCTTCTAATATATAATATTTAGTATATTAATAAGTCAAAATATCGACTTGAAATATGTAAGTACCATGCAAAAATGCATATGAAACAGTTGAAAAGCAAACATAAAACTATTACATTGATCTTATATTTGTCTACTGAAAAATTCTTTATTTGTTTAGCTGTACAACAGTATTTAATATGCCAATAAAAGTGATTATTATACTACAGTCACAAAATTTCGGTATAGGGTTAATAATGTCGATAGATGTACTAATGTAAACGAAGGTACTAACATCGCTACGGACATTAAGACAGAACAACTCTTCATAATCATGACTATGGCAATGCATTAAACTATTCTAACCGTTGTTTATGACATATCTCAAGTTAGTTCTTCATTTATAGTTTTTTTTTTAGAAACAAGGCAACGAATAAGCAATTCAATAATCAAAAATTAAGAATGCATTGACA